TTGTGTTGATGTACTGCATTTGTATTTGAGGTTGATATCGCGAATGAAATCAAGCATTTTCTTTTTAATTTCATGGATCTGAAATCAATTGGATGTATGTTTGTTTTTCTTTGTTTGTTTTGGTTGAACAGCTGAATAGTAGCCTTAAGTTCCATTTTGTTTCTTTATAGATTCCCTTTTTGTTCGACATTTGATCCTTTTTTTTGGCACATTGATTAAATGTGTTGTTTGCTGGCAATAAGATTGTAATTGATAATGAATTTTAAATTTCTCTTTATGTCTTTTGGATTTTAGTTTTTTTGAAAATTTGATCTGTTTTTGTGTTTATCTGTTTCAAAGGTTGTGTTTTTCGGTTGGGTTTCGGGTTGTATCGATCTAACCGGATTCAGTTAAAAAAAAAAAAAAGGTTAAACCCTATTTTGGTCCCTGAACTGTTGTACGGACCTCCGATTTGGTCCCTGAACTGTTGTACGGACCTCCGATTTGGTCCTGAACTAAAGAAATCCTTAAGTTGGTCCTTGAACTATTGTACGGACCTGAGTTGGTCCTTAAACTATTGTATGGATCCTCGAGTTAGTCTCTAAACTATTGTACAGATCTCCAATTTGGTCTCTACTGTTTACCAATTTAACTCCAACTTGGTTTTTTTGTTAAATAATAGCTCAGGGACCAAATTGGGGTGAAATTATAAACAGTAAGGATCAAATTGGGGTCTGTACAATAGTTTAAAGACCAATTTAGGTCAAATTATAAATAGTGGGGACCAAATCAGGGTCCGTACAATACTTTAGGGACCAAATCAGGGATTTCTTTAGTTGGATGACCAAATCGGAGGTCCGTACAATAGTTCAGGGACGAAAATAGGGATTTAACCAAAAAAACTAAAAAGGTTCGAAAGTAAAAAAAATTATTAATAATATAAAATTATTAATTAATTAAAAAAGTTAGTTTAATTTATGATTAACGAAATTAATTAATTTTAATTATAATAAATTAATCAAATTTATTGAGTTTGATTTGAGATGATTAGATTTATTTAGTTATCTCAATTAATGGTTAGTAAATATGATTAATTAATTTTAATTAATTTTAATTAATATTAAGTTAATTATTTAATTAGATTAATTCTTTTGATTAATTAATTTTAATTTTTAATTAACTTTAATCTTGGTTAAAGTCAAAGTTATCTTTTATTTTATCTCAATTTCATCCACAAGTTTTATGATTAAGCAATTCAATTCCAAAGTTTCAAATCTTTTTAAATCAATCCTTCATATTTTTGAATTTAATCAAATTGGTCCCTTTAATTTTATATGCTTAGGATGCATGCTTGTCTTGATTTTGTCCATTTTAATCCAAAAGTTTAAAAGATGTCACAATTCGGTTAATGTATTTTTCAAACTTACTTATTAAGACTTAAGTAAATAGATAATGAATAAGTTGAATTAAAACCCCAATTTTAAAGTATGCAATCGTGTTTAAACGGAGGATTGTGAGGTGCGCGTATGCCCTTCCTCACTCCTAACCGAACCCCCGAATCTCGATCTCTGCACAGACTTGTTTAGGTGACTTGTCCCACCTTATAATTTGGACAAGTGGCGACTCCCTCTTTTTTATATTTTCACACTTAATTTTTCATTTATTTTGAAAAAAATCTTAAGTGGTCGTCAACAACGTCACAGAAGGTGTGCAAGGCATATTTATGCAAATTTTAGAAAGGATCACAAAGGTAAGAAATTACAAAGATGGTTTTGGATCACTGCAAAATCAACAAATGAAGCAGAATTTAGGAGGAACCTAGAACAAATCAATAAATTGAAGCCTGCAGCAAAAGAAAGATTGGTGAAGCTGGACCCCAAATTCTGGTGCAAAGCCTTCTTTGACACTGATGCAAAATGTGATGCTGTCGATAATAACATGAGTGAAACTTTCAATGGTTTCATTCTAGATGCAAGGCATAAGGGACCTCTCTCACTACTTGAGGATCTTAGAAGAAAGTGCAGCAAGAGGAATATTGAAAAGTTGGAATTTGCTGACAGATAGTTTAAAGGTCAATTTGGTCCAAAATTTTGGGAAAAGATTGAAGAACACAGAAGCAAAATGACAAGATGCCATATCAAATCACAAGCAAGATGGCATTATGAAGTGGAAGAACGACCATATTCTTTTCTAGTCAATGTTCATGAGTGTACTTATAGTTGTAGAGTTTGGCAACTCAATGGTATTCCTTGCAGACATGGAATGCTTGTCATCCAACATAGGGGTGAGGAGTATGAAGATTATGTGCACCCATGCTATAGAAAGCAAGCTTACATTGACACATACAAAAATTTTATCATTCCTATTGATGGAATGCAATTTTGGGTTGATTCGGGTATGCCTGAAATTGATCCTCCTATTCCAAAATAGACGCCAGGAAGGCTTAAGAAAAAAAGACATTTAGAAGAATGGGAGATGGCTTTTGGATCAAACATGAGTAGGAAAGGTAGGGTCATGACTTGTCAAGCTTGCTTCAAAAAGGGCCACAACTCAAGGAGATGTCCAGTGAAAAAGCAAAAATCTACCGTAAGTATAAAAGCCAAATCTTTGTTTGTTCTTGTTGATTAAATTTATTTTTTTGTTTAATATTTAATTGAATTTTGTGAATTTTGAGATTATTTTTTTGTTTAATATTTAATTGAGTTTTGTGAATTTGAGATAGGTTGAAGAGTCATTGTCAAATGCTCAAAATCAAGTTCCCGAATTTGTCTAACAACCTCTTGCTATTACTACTGTAAGTATAAAAGCCAAGTCTTTGTTTATTCTTGTACATTAAATTTATTTTTTTGTTTAAAATTTAATTGAGTTATATGAATTTTGTGATAGGTTGAAGAGTCATTGACACATGTTCAAAATCAAGTTCTTGAACTTGTTCAGCAACCTGCTGCTACTAATATTCAAGTTTCAGAATCTATTTAGCAACATGCTCTTCCTACTGCTGCTGTTGCTGTTGCTATTCAAGTTCAAGAAACTATCCAACAACCTATTCTTCAAGTTCCAAAAAGTGTCTCACAAAATTCTGATCAACCAAATTTAAATGTTGAGCAACCAATTCAAGTAGTTACCAGGAAAACTGTGATGGTTCCAAAGAGACTACCTAAAGAGTTTAGGGCAACATGTAGGTCGAGGGTTAGAAGGCCTAATGCTGTAGCCGATGACCTTGGGATGAACAACTCCCTAAACATCACTGAGAATGTTGATGCAGGCAATAGTGCTCAAGTGCAGAAGGAAACTAAAGTTGTTGCAAGCAATCAAGTGCAAAAAAAAATAAATAAAGAGAAGGTACTAATCTATTTATGTTTCATTTTGTGACAAGTTTATTGTCTTTAATGAGTATAGAATTTTTTAAAATATGATTAACTAAAATTGAGGGTGTAGGGTCAAGTAAACTAGAAGAAAAAGAAAGGGAAAGTGCTTGGAATGGTGGAAATCCCCAACCCTCAAACTGCCTTACCTATTCTTGATGTGAGTTTTAAATTTCAATTTTTATATCAATGTATTTTTTTTTTTTATTGTCTGTATGTCTAATTTTTATAAATTAAAATGTCTAAACTTCTTTTTCCCAACCTGGTTATAAAAGCACAAAGACTTGCAATATACAAAATGCAATGAGGACTAACACAATGAGCATGGAAGAAAATATGGTCAACAAGCAACCACATCAATCAACACAAAGACAAAGTGTAACATACCAACAATTGGATGTAGGTGACATTGAGACATTGATTTTCATATCGAGTTGCTATTTCATATATTTAATTAATGTATATTTGTGAAATTTTTTAGGTGGAAAGATGTGCGAGATTAAGGGCCATAAAACAATCTAGGTTGGATCAAATGGAGATTGCAAATTGGGGATCCCTATTGCAAGCAATCAGTGAAAGGAGTGATGGAAATGCTTGTGATTGAGGGGTGATGGGTGATGACTTCTTTTGTGCATACTGTGAAATGGTGCTCTACTTAGCTAATGATGTCTATTTTGGAGTTTTAGTAGTGTTAATGCTATCAATTTAATGGTTTATATTCTGTGATTAATGGTTTATGATAAGGATAATTAGAGCATGTAAATTCCTATAATGTGCTGCCCTGTTTTTGCTTTTGTTGCTCTATTTTTTTTAAGTCATGTCCTATATAAGCAAGCAATAGAGCAAAGTTTACAGAGACCAATCTGCTGCACTTTTTTTTTTTTTTTGGTTAAGTTCTGTTTTTCTATTTTGTCCTGTACAAGCAAATCTTGCATTTATATAGCTGAAAATGCTCAAAAGATAGAC